GGTCTAGTTGGAGTATATTAATAATATTTATTATCTTCCAAAATACAATTTCCAGATAATCACATTTTGTAATAACCGTTGAATAATGCCACGGTGACAAAGGAGGAAATTCACAAGTTTGAAACTGACTATTTACATTTTGGGGTGAACAGTCAACTATAACTATACAAAAAGGGACATTTTTCATAAATATCATCTTGGAGCAAGTTTTTTTTTTTTTTTTTGTAACTCTTTCATTTCTCTTGACCAAAACAATTGTTTACATGTTTGTAGAAAAAAAATCTATATCATATTTTTTTCCATTTATTTAATTAATTTTTATTATCATTAATATTTCAAACTCATTTACTCTTCTTAAATGAGTGTAACCTTCCAGCAGCACAGATGTGTGTATGGCAGTGTGTTTAAAGTGTCTTTGAAGCAGGCTGAGTGTTTCAGGGGACTGTTTTCCCGTAACTCTCAGCTTCTCCAAACTCGCTGAAGTTCCTCAGAACTGACGGATACCATGCTGGTTTTGGAGACTGGATTACAACAGACTTCAGATGAGTGAAAGGCCAAACCAGACCTGCTCACTAAAAACATCTCATGCATTTCAGGAATGGAACTGAACAATCAAGTTTAAATCTGGTGGTGGTGCCACATTATGAAAAATGTTTTCCTCCAAAACACGTTGACCACAATTGTTGGCACCCCTTAGAATGTTTTTTTTTTTTTTTTTAGTAAAATATCTATATTTCAATTCATTTTTTACCTTATTTTTTTAAGCACATCAGGGTGACTAACATAAAATTGTCCAGCCATGACTTCTTGTTTCACAGGAGTTTAAATATGAGGAAACACAAAGGCCAAATTTCCTTAATCATCCTCCATCACAAAGAGTAAAACCAATAACCAAAGAATATAGTTCTGGAGAGATTCTGACTGAAGGAACGTCTCTGATCTCTTGTCAGGTGTTCTCCAAACTCAGAGCTGTTATCTTGGCAAAAGGAAGTTGCAAAAAGTATTTAATAAAAGGGTGCCAAAAATTATGGCCAACATGTTTTGAAGAAAAAAAAAATTATTTCACCATGTGATTTCCCCCCACTTTCAATTATGTTACTTCAATGAAAGGTTGGATTTTTGTGATTTGAAAGAAAGATCAAAAGGATTAACCAATGCAGATTTATTTTTACATCCATCTTCGATCATATTTAGCTACCATCTGTGCCAATAATTCTGACCATGACTGTATAGCCTATATTATATTACATAGGAAAAAAGGCCATTATTATCCATAAACTATTCAGGATAAAATATTCCCCAATAAAAATCTGACTATACACTCACATACCAATAATAGTTGTCTGAAAGTCAAAAGTGTGAAACATGACCTCAGTTCTCTATAAAGAAATGCATCCCATTATTAAATTTCAATTTTGCTTTTGGTTAGAAAAGTAGGAAGAACCATTATCTCTGGAATATAGTCATCCAGATCCTGAGGATTAAAACATTGAATGTCAACATCATAAACCTGTATTAAAAAATACAAATACCATTATTTTCTAAAATCTCAATGTGGATTGATGAAAGCAAAAAGACTTGTAGATCGTAAAATCATTATAAATGAATCCCCTTCAATGACAACAGCAGTAGCCTGACATGACATGAGGTCTGTACCTCTCTGTCGTACATTCAGATGAATTTCCATGCGGTCTGTAACAATTCCAGACTTTCGAAGATGAACACAAATATTAAAATACACTCAAAAGCCAATAAATCATAAATAAAAACTCAGAACTTCACAAAAATTGGTGAGCATATGTGGCATAACATGCAGAAGAAGCATGCAACGTTTCACAGAGATTGGACCATAGGTGGCGCTATAACCATCAAAAAGGTCTCATTCTTATTAGGTGTTCAAGAACGAAACTATGGTAAATCATACTGGAACATAGTAAATAATGAAAATCACACTGAAATGTGGTGTATCATGGTAAATCATGCTAAAACATGGTCTATTTCCATCTATGCTCTCAGTGGTTAAATGCTTGCTTCATAAAACGTAATGTCTTTTGATGCTTTTGTGCTTAAAGGCCTGAACACCGCTGAATGCTGCTTGCAGCTTTAATTATTATTATTATTATTCTGCAGTAAAACGCATCGTGCAGCCCAAACCGTAAGTGCTGGAGACTTGAAACTTTGTCAGATAGTAGTACAAAAATCGAGGAGAGGTTATCAAATTATGAGCCCGATTGGCCCAATAGGTGGCGCAATAGCAACCAATTGTACAAAACTGCTCATAACTCCTAGACTGTAAGTCGTAGACTCAAGTGTCTTATATCATTGGAAAGCTGGTCACCTTTTTTCGTCATATTCGAAAAAAACACATATCTCCGATTTAATTTCCGCCATGATGAATTTTCCCCCATTTTGAATTTTGTTATTGGATTGTTCTGCTGAAACACTGCAAAAATATATTTCCAAGAAATTTCAGTAGAAAAAAATGTTTCAACATGAGCTGAAGTGATCTAGAAGCTTTATACAGCGGATGCCATTGAAAACTATCCCTAGCGCTGACGTACAAAAAGGGCAGGGAAAACTCAGAATACATAAAAAGTCCAACAACCCAACAGAAGTATAGAAGCTTGTCAAGAACAATAAAACATTTTTACAACCCTGCTGAACAGTGCTCAGTTGTACAGTGTAATGTGTAATTATACAAATATACCTGACTGCAGAACATTATCAATGACAAAAACCTGTAAAATGAGATCCACATCGCAAGAGTCCAAGTAAACAAAACCACTGCAGAAATGGGAAAATTTTTATTTATGCATTTCACGAATCCAAATGTTCAAACCAGAATTTAATTCCATCTTTTTTTCCAACATAAAAACATTACAGCAACTGTTTTGCAGGGAAATGTGTTCAAAAACATAACCGCCGTAAAAATAAAAACGTAAAAAGGGCAAATGTTTCGGTTGTCTGGAAGCGCACAGTAGGTCCTTGTGTTTGGGTGGACAGTGGTACATACTTGTAAACGTATGGAATGTATTTATTTACTGTACAGACACGCAGGGACAAACCCTGCAGAAGAAACAACATGATTTGTGCTGGGGAAACACCCTAGTCAAAAGAACTTATTTTATAGAAAAAAATAAAACATACTAAAAATATCTACACAAATCGTTTTTGTAATATATTTTTCACCCACCTTTAACTTCCCTTTTAAAAACTCAACGTCTCTAAAAAAAGCAAGTTAACACAGTAACTTAAATGATTCTTCTACACTCTTCCTCTCTCAATATTTTTTCTTCGTTTCATTTTGTTTCATCAGTCGCATTAAAGATTATGAGGAAGCTTTGAAAATGCTGTAATACTACATTCAAAATAAACGTTAATAGCACAGCATGTTCATGACCATATGGGTGAATCTCATGAAAACCTGTCCGGTCACATTTCACCGTAAAATCAAAAGGAAAAACAGAAGGAAAAACAGAAATAGTGTATTAAAATAGTAGCCTATTTTAAGATCTTTTTGTATTGTGACATACTTTCCACAATTTATATATATATATATATAGACCATTTCACAAGATGTAAACAGCACTGGTCCAGAAACACTTCCTGTTTCAGTTTTCTTTATTACACATGTAAAGAAAACATCTTAAAGATGTTTGTTTGAACTTTTTGATTCAGTTTTAAATGTTCTGTTGGTTGTATTTTATCCCAGCTTATATGTAGTGTTAAAAAACTAAAACAGGAAGTGCTTCTGGACCAGTGTTATTTACATCTTGTGAAATGGTCTATACTGTGTATATATATATATATATATATATATATATATATATATATATACAAACACACACACATTTTTTAAAGGAATTTAAATCAAAGTTTTCAAATTTGCAGTGAAAATGTGCATAAATATGAACTTTTTTCTTTCGATTTTGGGGTGAAACGACGTGACCATGTTCTTGACTGTGTTCGTGAGGTTCACCCTCGTACTCTTGGCCCCGTTTTAAGCATGGAAAAAAAAAAGCACTGCTGGGAGTTCAGGACTCACTCCAGTAACTGGAGTGGCACGATGCAGCAGATCCGTGTGGGAAGAAAGACAACAGCCTGAACGAGTGAACAACATCTGTCCAGCTCTGGGCCACGGATCAAATGCGTGTAGTGCAGACAATCATAAGCAAAGCTATGCGATGATGATGTAAAAATCTGAATAAAAATGAAAAAAAAAAACAAACAAAAAAAAAACAGCTTTTATACTGCTGTTCTATTTCAGTCTAACTCCCAACACCCAGAATCCCAAGCATGCAAGACCTGTTACATATAGAAACACAACAGCAATATAAATCAGCCCTCGTCAGTCTATCAGCTCGGTGCGACCAAGGCTATAAAAATAGAATAAGTGTTTCAATCATTTACTGTTTCAAACGTCTTTACATATATTTGTTTTGTAAAAAAAAATGTGCCCATCATGCTAAACCTTGCTATAGCACTTTAATATACCTCTCAGTTTTACATGGTCAAATACAGTCTGAGCTCTTAAAGTTTTAATAGTTTTTTTTTTCTTTTTCTCCTGTGTTTGTAGTATTAAAAGTAGCATGAAATATGTCATTACAACAAAACTCTGTGGCTACACACTAACTCCTGACAGAAACATTCAGCAGATCACATCTCAATCCTGCTTCCCTCATGTGTTCGTCTAAGACACTGCTAATTAGTGTAATTCAGTCATATACATGCTGGTTTGCATTGTTTTCAAAGGCTCACGGTTGAATCTCACGCAAACATGCCACACTTCACCCAAAATATCTTTTTTCTTTTACCTAAATGAAGCCTATTTATTTATTTGCATTGTGACATTATTTTCAGAACAATTAAGCTCATTTCCTACCTAAATTCTCATTACATTGATGCGCTTGGAAGGTTTATTTTTTTTAATAATCATTATTTAATGTTCTCATTACTGTAATGCAGTAAAACTATGACTATACAATGTTTATATTTAAATTTATATAAGTTAAATGTATGAATTTAATTTAATAAATTAAATTAAATGTATAAATACTTTACAGTTTAAATAGTATTTAATCATGTTTTTGCACTGCCGTAATTTGTTTAATTTGTCATGAAAATAATGTCACAAAAAAACCATAAGGGCCAGAAAGAAAAAAAAAACAAACAAACAAAAAAAAAACGCTTTCATTTAAGTACAATATCTTGTTTATATAATTTCAGGGTGAAATGTGACCCAGACAGGTTTAGTGAGATTTAACCATCTGTAACTGTAACGTGAGCTTGGGTAGTTTTGGCCAACTCTCATTCCCACATCACTTGAGAGTCAATAATAATAATAATAATAATAATAGTAATACAAAAAAATCACCCATAATAGTTAAAGATATTAAAGTGTAAAACTAACTGTTAAAACGAAAGAAATGCTGCTTCAAAGAAGTCTCTGAACATGCTTCTCTGTCCCGTCAGTTGTCTCTTCTCCCCCTCTGCTGTCTCAAGACTGGTTTGGGGTTTGAAAAGCGGTGTGTTCACAAAGAAGGTAGTGTGTGTGAGTGTGTTACCATTACAGAACCGTTCAAGGGTCTCTCTAGAGCAGAAAGGAGTCTTAAAAAGATCTCTGGGGCTGATGGGAGGAGATTAGCCCGTTCACATCTCGGTCCTACAGAGCGAGAGGAGACGCAGTGCTGGTGCTGGTTGGGGTCGTGCTGGGGGAGGGCGTGTGCTTTGGAGGAGCCAGATCGAGGAGGGCACGAACCGTCCCGGCCACCTGAGCCAAACCTCTCTCTTCCAGGATGTGCAGGGGAAGACACAGCTGGCTCTGCGGCCGTAAACACACACACACACACACACACACACACACACACACAGAGCAGGGGCGAACAAAAAAGGGACAAAAATGGTGTGTCAATGGAGAAACAAAATTATAAAAATCAATATAACTTAAAATAAATGATTACAATGGATAAACTCAAATAAAGCAGATAATGTACAAGTAAGGAAACTGTAAAGAAAGGTGAAGGAGATGAAGAGAGATGGGAAAATCATTCAAAACCTGCTAGACAGAAAGCTGTATTTCACAAAGCAGGAACTAACCAGCGAGAGAATTATTATTAGAAGTGGTTGTTATTGCACATGCTTTGGGTTATAGTGAACTGAACCATCTCTTAAACCTAAAGATCATATCATGACACTATGTGCTAAAAACATGAACCATATATCAAAAAATTCCGATTTTTTAGTGTTTTTGGAAGTCGTCTCTACTGCTCATCAAGACTGCATTTATTTGATCAAAAATACAGTAAAACAGAAATATTCTGAAATATTATAATCATTTAAAATAACTCTTTTCTATGTGAATATATTTTAGATTATATTCCTCATTACTCTAGTCTTCAGTGTCATAAATCATTCTAATATGCTGATTATTGTTGGTACTCAACGTTGAATGATGGTTCTTTAGCGGCTTAATATTGTTGTAGAAAACATGATACTTTTTTTTAGGATTCAAACAAGTCCAAGTTTCAAATAAATTCTGTTCTTTTGAATTTTAAATACCGTCACTTGACCAGTTTAGTGCATCCTTGTTGACTAAAAGTATTAATTTGATACTGTATATATATATTTTATCTTTATCTTACTGACCCCAAAACTTGAGCGGTACAGTATTACAGTGTCCACGATAATATTAAGCAGCTTTGTTTAAATTGACAAGAAATCGACTGGAGACTAGAGTAATGATGCTGATATTTCACTGTTTTTACTGTCTTTTAAGCCCGGAACACACCAAGCTGACGCCGGCGAACTAGCCCCGATGAAAGCCGACTGTGTTGTCGCCTCTCGTCCGCTCTCGTCAGGGTAAAAAGCTACACTTGAACACACCGAGAGAACTACAGGCAACTGTCAGCTATAATGTGCGTTCTGCGCCTGTGTGTAATGAGCCAACTGTCTATTTCTGCAGATATATTAGTCTATATATTCATCATTCAAAAAGAAAAACCGACGCTGCCGGCTGCAGATACACATACCGTAAAACAAAGCAGCGCGTACTTACCGTTTTGAATATCAATCCTGTTAAACGCTTTCTTTATTCCACTCCGCTCATGTTAATATTGAAATATTCGCCAAGGAACACTCAGGTAAGATGACGTAACATAAGAACAGCCTTCTATCTTTACCGTTTTGACTTCTTTGCTTGCTGTTTTGCTTTTATTCTTGTGCACCGACTCTTTCACTAAGCTGAACAGCCAATCAGAGTTCTCTCTTTCCCCGACGGGCCGACGCCGATTCAACATGTCGAATCGGGCGAAACAAAGCCGACAAGGACTATTTTCAGCCGACGGCACGGAACCGTGCGTATCACACCGAGGAAACTGCCCGACGGCCGACCGTCGGCTTGGGGTGTTACGGGCTTTAGATCAAATAAATGCAGCCTTGGTGAGCATAAAAGTCTTTAAAATCCAGTAGTGTATAGACCATCTGTCTTATTTTGACCTGCTAGACAATCCAGAACAACCCAGCCAAGCATTTATCACTGCAGTACCACACTACCCAACAGAAAGCTGTGACACACAAACACACAACTAAACTACTGATAAAACACACATCTACATTGGATTCTTGAGTTTAGCTTTTATTGTAGAAAAGCCGAGGAGGACAAGTCAGACTGTAGGAAAATCAGGCAACATGGCACACAAATCTGACACACAAATGCTTACACACTCTGTGACCAGTGTTGTATTTCCTATGCGTGTTAGGATTATATTATACTGTATTTTAGCAACAGGTATACTGGTTAACAAGGACTGTTATTTCAGTGAGTAAACGGTGTTTTGGTGCAAGAATGACAAGATGCTTGATAACTGTAGCGTTATGAACGGACAGCGAGATGTTTTCTAGCCATTTAAAGGGTTAGTTCAGCCATACAATTCTGACATTATTTACACACCCCAAGTTGTTTCATGTTTGATTTACTTTCTTCACAAAAGCAAATGTTAAACAGAAAGTTGTGGCTGCTCTTTTCCACATAACATGAGGCCATTCATTGAAACATCATTTTTGTGCAAATAATTTGTGAAGCCCTTCAGATTCATGAAAGTGTTTGTATTCATATGAAAAGATTATACTTTTATTTTTTTTTTTTTGTACAAACTGAATGCACTGCAATTTCATAACACTATTTGCCATTTATTAATATTACAACAATAATACAATATTACAATTTTAATATTATAACACAAAAAAGGTGTTTTAACCAATTAGCCACATGTAAAAATACTTTTGACTGATAAACTGCGGCAGTCCATTTTCCTCTTTATCGTTACAATGATTTTGAGCACCAGTAGCATTTGTCTGCAAGAACGTTTAATTTTATATGTATATGGCCAAATAATTCCTTTTTGCAATTATGTACTATAATGGAACCAAACCTGAAAAAGTAGTCCAGAAGTTCCCACAGCGTTCCAGTAGACGAAATTCACTTATTTTTAATTTTTACGCGGGATTATGCTACTTGTGAATGAGCTATTTATTATTGAAAGGTAAATGAATGAAAATAAATTAGGCCAGGGACTGCCAGACTTCAAAAAAGTACATCTCATATCAGTAGTTCATATGACATGCACTATATTACTTAAAGGGATAGTTCACTTAAAAATATAAATCAAAGGTGCTAAATGTAACTTTTTTTCTAAAACGAATCCCTTTTTATTGCCTGTGTGTGAAGGGGTTGTAATCACACAATGATAGGTGATGCAATGATCCACTCGTCGGGTTTTGATATTACCTCTGAAGGCCAGTATTCCTATTTTGATGTGAAGTCTCCGGGTCGGATTTTCTGCGAAATCCATCGGATGTGACGTGCATGCACGCTCCTGAGCCTCTCTCCTTCTATATACAGTCTATAATAGCAGTCGAATAGCGCGTCAGGCGCGAATGATTTCAATGTTAAGTCAATGCACAGACACGTTACACGCGTAAAAAATTCCCGCACCACAAATGAGGTGTAGAGCGCGGATTGAGCGTCTGGCGCGTTAAGCGCAAATGATTTAGTTATTTGTGCTATTTGTGCATTCACGCATTTGACTGCCGCCCGAGTTGAAAGATCTGAACTTCGGCGTCAAATTCACGCCACGTTAACCAATCAGGAGCCTGCTGCTTGCTCACGTGGTGAAGGATCTGGATGCTTCAATAAATTTTGTAATATGACTAAATGTGTGTGGTTCTAATGCACAACAAAGCAAATATTTTATCATTCAATTTATTATTCAATATACGAGATATGTTCATTTTGTATTGAATGTTATTTATTCCATATCTAGATTAAATAAAATATTATTATGATGTAAAGACAACCAACATATGTGCACAAGTTTGTGTCTGGACGTGAGAGAAAAAAATGAATAAATAAAAAAAATAAATCACAGGACAGGTTAATAACTTTTGGAGGCTGGCTCTATTTTTCATCAAAACAAAAATAAATGACAGATTAGGTGGATGAGGTTGAGGGTGATCCTCGCTCGCTCCGATGCTGGACAACAGGTCATCAAAATGGGCGCGGGACAGGCGGAAGTACCGCTGACAGCGGCCGTCATCCAGCGCAGCTCTTGGAGCGAGCAAATGGTGAAACTCGCCAAACGGTTCGCCTCCGAAGGGTCCGGTGCACACAAATACGGTGACAATGAACCCCACGCCGCTGTTCTGCTCTCCAGAGCAAAAACAGAGCGGTAGGGCTGTGCCATATCATACCGTCCACGATAATACCGGTATAAAATTTTACATGATAAAAAAATTGTCATATCGCGATATTGATGATATGATGACGTATGGCGTATTTACGTTACTTAGCGCGTGCACAACAACACAGCAGCATGTCAGCCTCCGGATCAGATCAAGATTTAGTTCCTAAAAAGGGCGCTACTTCAATAGTATGGAAGTTGTTTGAGTACAAGAGGTCAGATCTCCAACAACACAATATTTTTTTTTTTTTTTGTCAAATATGCATGAAAACTCGTTTCACCACTTCCCTACTAGCGTACATTTTGCATTCGCCTAATCTTCCTTCAGAGTTTCCGCAGTTCGGGTACAACAGTCAACACGATTAAACTCTTTCTAAGATGATTCAATGTTACTATTATTATATTTGTAAATAAAAGTTCTATGCTTTCGCATAAAACAACTTTATCTTGCTGGACTTTATTGCTGTAAATCATCATGTTACTTTCTACCGGCCGGGTGTCTGTTAGAGCAAAACACTAGAGTCAGAGCACTATTGTTCATCACGCCCACAGTAACTGAAATGTAAAACTGTTAAAAGAAAGGACTCGATAAACGATTGCATAGCTAGATGCTGTATATTATATACGACGCTACGCATCAATATTTAGTTACTTTGTGCTTTGAACTGTTCAGTGCGGAGTATTCGACGCGCTGCGCGTGCGCGCTGTGACTCCGTGTTGCTTCAAGCGCATCATTCAGCGCTCGGGATGCGCATAAGCGCTGTGCGATATATTGGAGCCTTTCATATCATAATACTTTTGCGCAATAAAAGATTATTAATAGCCTTTGTTCTGTCCTGTCGATCATATGTTGCTGCCTCATTAAACAGCTGTGCTATTCATTTTAAACATGCCTCAATTTTATAGTAGACTAGGCTATATAATAATTAATCCTTTTGATTTGTTACCTTGTTTTTTTTCATGAATGTACAATACAAAGAGCAATGTGTAAAGTTTTACCAGATTTAGTGTTACAATTGTCTCTTATTTATTCCCCACTAAATGTTTTTTTTTCCCCTAAATGTTCCGATTTTATACAATTATTGTATAAATTAGGTATTGTATACCTCATTTGATGCTAATCCAAAAACTATGCAAGGCAACTGTTACATTTTGAAGGTTTGTTTGGATTGCCGCTGTTTGTTTAAATTTTTTGTACTTCAAAGTTTAGGTAAATTTTATTAGGTGACAATATTGTGCAGGCTTCTGAAGTTATTGTTAATATTGTTAATGTATTACTGTAGTTATTGTTAAAATAAAATGATAAGGAGTTATGTTATACTTTTTTTTGCACTAATGCTGCTGCCAGCCAGCTGCAATCACCAATAAAACATTGTTTCATATATATTTTTTCTATATCGTGATAAATATCATTATCGCAAATATTCTTGAAATATCGTGATATAATTTTTAGGCTATATCGCCCACCCCTACAGAGCGGTGACTCTCTCGATGAATGCTCGGTCGACATAAAGAATGGCCGCCAACAGATTTCGATTCTTCCGTAAACAATAATTTTGTTTGTGTGACGCACATAAATTTCGCTTCAAACTTTAAGTGCATCACTCTTGACGGTGTGTTGAAAGTCTCAGTAGCCATGTTTCCATCGACGCGGTTTTTTCCGAATTAAGTGATATCGAATGAAAAAAGCCTTATGGAAACAGTAAAATTGGATGAAATTTCATGAAAATCGACTCAAATGAAATACGTTCGGTCTCATCGAATTTTCTCTTGATCGATACGGCTAATGCAATAAAAGCTGATGGAAACGTTATTTGCCGAATAAATAATGAATTGCGATTAAGTTTTATGCCCTTTTATGGTTGCAACACGTCAGAAGACGAGTTCATTTCCGGCCAGTCTGTTTGCGCACACATGGCGGATGTCAACAAAGACAGATGTAAGTGGACAAAGCAAAAAGATGCTTCAACCAAAGGGTTTCCGTGAACCACGATCTCCCAGAACTGATGGAGCGCTCGTTCCCACACCACAGTCACCTCCGCTGTCTTCAGGCATACGTGCATCGTCATCATCATAGCAATGTTTATAGCGTAGTTGTTTTCTTAGGTCAGTTTTGCTTGTTTTTACGTGTCAATATTTTGTGTCAAATTATTGATTTATTTATTTATTTGGTTGATTTATATGTAATAAGCAGGATAATATATAGCGAGGCGGTTGTTATAGCGAATACAACAACCGCCTCGCATACATTATCCCATTCATATGTCGCTATCAGCTGGCACATAAGCATTATTAGCCTTCAACTTGTAAAATATTGATCATTTTTTGGTAGATGGCGCGATCCGTTTTGTCTAACAAAACTTTGTTGGCAAAAGTTTGCTTGAATGTTGTTCGATTCAGTGCGAAAATAAATGGAAACACCTTAAAATGTCTCAAATCAATTCGATATACCAATTTGATCGCAAAACAGCGTGTGACGTCATTACGTACAGGTTTTTATTCGCTTTAAAGCCGTTGGATGGAAACACACTTTCACCAGCTTTATCCGCATGAGTTTTTTAACCAAATTTCAGATAATTCGATTGACAAGTGGATGGAAACATGGCTACTGTGGCCGTGTACCATAAGTGCTAACGCTCTTGTGTTCGAGCACGCGCAAGAGCATGAGCGCTCTTGTAAAAAAAAAGGTTGCAATCTGAAACATCACCGATAGTGGCCGCTAAAAAATCCATATAGCACTTTTAAGTCATTTACTCTGCCCGGTGTTGTTCTAATATCGTATGCCTCTTTTTCAGACCACAAAAGGGGGATTTAAAAGAAAAATGTCCTGCATCAAGCTTTGAAAAAAGACTATTTAACGTGTGTTGTAATTTAAAGTGATCTATCTTTTTAATATATGCAATAAAGGTAGGATGTTCGAAGGTGCCCTTGCCTTGTCATTTTTGGTTCTTAAAGGCTCCCGTCCCTTTTACGTTTGTATGGAAAAGAGCAGCTCAGACAATATGCAAAATTTCTTCTCCTGTGCTTCATGGTAGAAAGCAACTCATACAGGTTTGTAACAACATAAATGTGAGTAAATGTTATTTTTGGAGAACTATTGTGTTAACTGTGAGACATTGACATACACACAGTAAGGCACAAAGGGATAAAACTGGGAGTTTAAGGTTTGGCATCCTCCAGTCCACAAGGTCTTATTCATTCACGGAAACCCTCATAGAAACACAAAGCCACACAAAATACTCATCCACTTTAGCAGACTTTGGGAAAATGTGCAGCAGAACTAACACACAAAGGGCTCGTTCACAGAGCAGTCAGCTTGTTCTGTTGTCTTTAAGGCTGAATGGGGGAATCCACCCATTTTTGTGCTTTTTGATGAAGCTTTGAATTTTGCTATGGAAATGTGTCCTCTACACACACACACAGAAATATAAACACTCTCAATTGACTCTTTGCTAAGCCCCGCCTTAGAAAGTCAATGACCACACCTTTGTCATTGCAACTATTGCCATTTATCAACCATGAAATGTTGTGTTCGTCTTTTCAGTTAACTGTTATAATGTACACTAGTGTCCACAAATTTGGTGTCAGTAAGATTTTTCAAAAAAAGAATGCATAAAATTGATCAAAAGTGACAGTAATGACATTTATAATCAGTGTTGGGGGGGGGGGGGGGGTAACACATTACAAGAAACGAGTTACGTAATCAGACTTCTTTTTTTCAAGTAACTAGTAAAATAATACTTTTAAATTTATAACAAAATATAAGTAACGCATGTTACAGAATGGAGAAAAAGTACAGCAAAAGTAATGCAACATTACTTTCAATAAAATGTAACATAATTAGCTATTTTTTTTGTAACATTAGAGTAATTTCTAGAGTAATTTTTACCAAGTAATTTCCCCAACACTGTTTATAATTTAAAAAAAAGATTTATATTTCAAAAATGACTCTGATTCTGACTCTGACTCCATAAAACAACACTAATAATAATAAGAAGAAATGTTTCTTGAGCAGCAAATTAGCATATTAGAATGATTTCTGAAAGATTATGTGACACTGAAGACTGGCGTAATGATGCATCAAAGGAATAAATTACATTCTAAAATGTATTCACATAGAAAATAGTTCTTTAAAATTGTAACACTATTAATGTATATTCGAACAAATAAATGCAGCCTTGGTGAGCATAAGAGACTTATTTCAAAAACATTTGAAAAATCTTACCGACCTAAATCTTTAGAATGGTTATTAAATTTCTTTATAGAAAATTGCACATACAAATACTCAGCATAAATCACAATTATTTCCAGTCCATGTAATAGGCTACCATTCAATCCATTCATGCCACCTTAAGAGCAAGCTTTACTGCGCATGAATGTTCGTATGAATGTTATTTTTAAAGCTTGCCTGAGCCAGCAACATTACACAAAGGGGTCAGACAGAGCTTAGCAAAATATCAATGATGTGCCACTATAAACATGTGCATAAACACTGGCTATCGTGTAAATCTGCTCATTTGCTCACTAAAACAACAATCGACTGTTTTAGTGCAGTGATCAATCAATATGGAAGTGTGATTTAACAGCTTGGCACCAGGTGGCAGTAGAGAACACATAGCAGCGACATGATTGACAGGTAGAAAAGGGCGAATCCAGCCAGCTGGGTAGAAGGGGCGGAGCGAATGGGAGGCGGTGCCAGGGAGAGCAAAGCCTCAACCAGCCTGAGCACACAAACAACCTCCCCTTTCAGCACGTCGCCCGCTGAACACAAACTATCCTGCCCACAGGGAGGAAGATGAACATGAGCGTTCAAATAAAACACAATAAGAGGTTGATGAGATGTGAGATGGTTTTAAATCGGAAGGGAATTGGGGGAGAGAGAGAGAAAGAGTTAGTGGTATAAGCTCGTAAATTTTTAGAGCATTAGAGGAAACAGCAAAAGATGTTAAAAAGTGAGTTAGGAAGAAAACACGAAACGTCATGTGTTTGAGAAGCTATTTCTTAATTTGATTTTTAAAGATTAAAAACTTTTTTTCCATGAAAAAGGAAATAGCTTGAAGTGTAGGAGACCAAGTCTACCTGAGGAACTCCGATTCTGCGGCACGCCTCTAGGAAGTTCTCCACATTTCGTCGACACTTAGCCATTGTCAGTTTGGGCTGGAAAGAAAAAAAAAAGCTGAAATTATGTATTCCTATGTGCAAACACAAACATACACAAAAACATATAGATTAAGTTATGAGCAAAATAAACCCCAAAAATCACTCACCACTGCCGGTGAGGGTACGTGGATGCTCGGTATGGATCGGGGACGTACGTGGTTGGCCAGGTGGCACAACACGACCCCGTCAGTCAAAGCTGCCCCAAGATCAGTGGGTAAAGACACCTTGAGTCGACACTCAATATTCTACATGAAGGATGACAAATTAGTGACTAACAGCAGGAAAACAGTTTTATTTGTTTTGTAATATTTTGATTTGAGTTGCATATACTTAAAGGTGGGGTATGTGATTTTCTTTTTGACCATTTTTTCAAAATCACTTTAAATCCTATTCCTAACCCACTTGCAGCCACTGAGTTAGAACCAATGAAATTAAAATTAAGATTAAACATGAATCATCTGTGGAACGGGCATGACTCGAAAAACTCCAGCCAATCATTTCCAAGACCACTTAGAATCATTGGACTGTAAGTGCGTCAATCAATCGGTCATACCATCCGCCCCTCCCCCCATCCCCCCTGTGTGCTTGTCCCCTTCATGCACATACTCAAAGCTCGTGACCCAGTTACAGTAAGTACGTCGCCCCGGTACAGAGAGAGAGAGAGAGAGAGAGAGAGAGAGAGAGAGAGAGAGAGAGAGAGAGAGAGAGAGAGAGAGAGAGAGAGAGAGAGAGAGAGAGTGTAAGAGTAATCACGCGCATCCGAGTTTTGCAGATGCATGATTGCACGTCCATATTCTTCGAATGGGTAGAGTCAGGGCCAGCTTTGGAGGAAAGTTGTGTATTTTCAAAATCTGCCAGCCATTTTACAAATCCCATACCCAACCTTTAACAGGACAGCATAATACGATATAAATGACTTTAATAATTTATATATATATATATATATATATATATATATAAAATATTATTCACAGTTCACACACACATGCATACATATATGAAACAATAGATACATCAATAATGGATAACAAGAATAGGAGGGTACTACTAAAGCAGTTTGCTTGACGCACCCTTCTCAGCTGCTCTATCAGTAGCGCCTCCTCTCCCGTTGGGGCTGGACTCTGCATGGGAGTGGCTTCCACTGGCTCCGCCTTCTGTGCGCCTGATTCTCCTGCAAAATGGTCACACATGCCATGTATAGAAACACGTCACTGCGTAATTACATGAGCAAGTTCTAATTAGGAACAATGATTGACGTGTGATTTGATTGACTTGTAAAAGAGCACAACAGCGACTGTCTACTTCAGTGAAAATTTAATTTAACTATTATAGAATTTTTTCAGATTTTTTAAAGTTGCAAAGTTTTGTATTTATTTATAATATTTACAGTTTTTTCTGTATTATCTATATTGATACTACATTGCACATCCATAATACATTCATATCACTCTTCCTTTTATTGCTTTGTAATATACTAGCATGTTTGGAAGCAACCATTTATAATTCCTTCATCTTTTGTTGTTGCATCAGAGAGTAAGAAATACTTCTGTATTTTGTATTCTTTGGCCTATATGTCAAAACAAACACTGTAGTATCTGTCTTTTATCTTATCTCTGTTTGGAAAAACATCAATAAAAATAGTTCAACTAAAATAGCTTTACATTTTTTTTATTTTCAGTTTTAATTTTTTTATTTTAGTTTGAGTATTAGTAATTAAAAAAAAAATCTATTTAGCTTTAATTTACATTTCTTTCGGTTATTTTCAGTTAGTTCCAATGCAACATCTTTCTTAAATTAAAGACAACAGTTTTTAATAATTTTAGTTAACAATAACAACACTGCCACCTTTTCAGTGATTTTTTTTTTTCTGTTTTTCTCATATTTTCTCCATAAGCATTTCAGAAAATCTTTTACTGCAGAGTTCAAGACAAACCATCCAGCTCTGAGATGAATTATATCACCACATGTGATTCAAAGCACTTATGAACATTATGAAAATAAACATTAAGGTGACAAAGGTACAACTGTGCACTTACATTCTTTCATGAGAGATCGGAAACAACGATACCGAATGATTAAACATTAATATACAAAACTACTGACTACAAGTAATTGATAAAACACATTTTGTTCAGAGGTTTATTACAAAATATTCAAATATTTAGGCTGACACTGATTTTTACACTTAATTTACACTAGGGGCTTTTGCAATGGAGGAACCTTTTCATAGTACTCCTAGAACTACTAGAACTTTTTGGCGTGTTTGCACCGCAGGAACTGGCAGTCCTTCCAGAAAAACGCATAGTTTTTTTGTGATTGTTGCGGGCAAAAATCCTTGATTACGCGGCCCGTTTTCTTTAAAAATGCGATGGAATATGCGGGATATTTATGCAATTTTATGCGATGAAATTGCGGGAACTTGCAAAAATTGCGGAACTTGCAAAAATTGCGGGAACTTGCAAAAACTGCGGTTTGATGAAAAAGAGAAAAAAAGTGATTCCCCGCACCCTGTTCTCACTAGGCTACTACCTTAATGTAAAGAGTAATTTCTTATTACTTTCTATGATGTAGCAAGCATACTACATCATAGAAAGTGCTGGGAATATTTAATTTCTCATCTTGTTTTATTTTTATTAAATTTTCAAAATCACAGAGTTTGATATCAAGTTCTTGACATTTCTTTTACACATTTTCTGATAAGTATAACATCTGAGAAGTAGCCTAAAACATGAAACAATAATTTAAAAAAAAAAAAAAAAAAAAAAAAAAAAAAAAAAAACAAGAAAAAAAAAAGATAGAGGGCATCACAGACATATTAAATTCCTTTAGCAGAGATACAGATCTTTTGGGCAGATCTTTTTTTAAATTTTAAAGACTCAAAATACATTTTAAAGGCTGTTTTGAAATGAGCAAAGTTGGGTTTTGAGTTACTCCACTTAGTTTGATGAATATGAAATTTTCCTAATAATAGAAAAAAATCGATAACATACATTTTTCTTATAGGAAAGTCAAAATCATTTGTATGAAGATGACAAATTTAAAGGGTTAGTTCACCCAAAAATGAAAATTAAGTCATTAATTACTCACCCCCATGCTGTACCAACCCCGTAAGACCTTCGTTCGTCTTCGGAACACAAATGAAGATATTTTTGATTACATTTGAGAGCTGTATAACTACCACATTGGCTCCTAAAGGACTGCCTCTTGACGGCCCAGAAAGTCAATGAAGAAAATGTTTAAATATCCCAAGTGACTACCGTGGCTCAACTATATGTTTATCAAGCGACGCGAATACTTTTTGTGCGAAAAAACAAACAAAAATAACGAGTTTATTCGACTATTTCTTTTCTTCCTTGTAGGCCAGAACGAGAATTCCTTATAGATTTCCACGACGCATGCGCGAGATTTGCGATCTGCTTACACCAGCTTACACTACTTCAGATCGCAATTCTCACGCATGCGTCGTGGAAATCTATAAGGAAGTCTCGTTTTGGCCTACAAGGAAGAAAAGAAATAGTCGAATAAACTCGTTATTTTTGTTTGTTTTTTCGCACAAAAAGTATTCGCGTCGCTTGATAAACATATAGTTGAGCCACGGTAGTCACTTGGGATATTTAAACATTTTCTTCATTGACTTTCTGGGCCGTCAAGAGGCAGTCCCTTAGGAGCCAATGTGGTAGTTATACAGCTCTCAAATTTAATCAAAAATATCTTCATTTGTGTTCCGAAGACGAACGAAGGTCTTACGGGGTTGGTACAGCATGGGGGTGAGTAATTAATGACTTAATTTTCATTTTTGGGTGAACTAACCCTTTAAGACAAGGTTGCAATTCATTTTAAAACCTAGAAATTGAGACATCTCATTCCAAAAGATTGAAAAATGGGGACATTCAAACAATAAGTGCACAATAGACTCTCTTTCACAATTACAAAATCAGCAATGTTTTATTTAAGACTGTAACGAGTGTAAATAAGGTGTGGCCCCTTTAAGAGCTGCGTGCTGAACTGTCTGCAGTGTGTGCGCCTCAAACACCCCATGTGTGCGGGTAATTTCGGTTTGATGCTTATTCTTTTATCTTATTTTGTTTATTAAGTAACGATGTGATGGTAGAACGTGTGACAGACAGTTATACGAGTTCGATTTGTGAGATGTCAATCGCCTCCGTGAGTCTTTCTGGCCTCTGCAATAACTTCAGCTGTGAGCTATCCCGTCGCGTAATTGCGTCACTTCATAACGCTCCCATGGAAACAGGAGGAAATGGCTGCTCTTGTATGAAGCAAACGCAACATTTTTCAACTTTCTGCGAAGATATATGTGACTTTTTTTTTGCAACGAAAATGCGAGGATTATGAAATCATGCAAGCCTCGCATATTTTGCATGGAAATCGGCATTTTATGCGGCGAAAGTGCGGCTTATTCGAAAAAATGCGGCCCCCGCATAAATATGCGGACTTTGGCTGATTTTGCATTGAATTCAGCGATCGCATAATCGCGTTTTTCTGGAGGGACTGAACTGGGAATGAATCAGTTATAGGGACAGCTTTTGGGGGAACTAAATTAACTTTCTTTTTCTCTTTTATTCAGCAAGGAAGCATTAAATTGATCATACGTGACAGAAAAGACACTTGTTATAAAAAAAAATTATATTTCAAATTAATTCTGTTCTACTTTCTATTCATCAAATGATCCTGAAATAAAAATGTATCATGGTTCCCACAATATTAAGCAGTACAACAGTTTTTTTTAAATATTAATTAATAATAAATGTTTTTTTAGCAGCAAATCAGCGTATTAGAATGATTTCGGAAGACTCATTTGACACTGAAGAGTGGAGTAATGATGCTGAAAATTCAGCTTTGCATCACAGGAATACATTACATTTTAAAATATATCAAAATAGAAAAAAGTTATTTTATATTGTAATAATATTTCACAATATTACTCTTTTTGCTATATTTTTATCAAATAAATGCAGCCTTGGTGAGCAGTAGAGACTTTTAAAAACCAAATCTAACCGACCCCAAACTTTTGAACGGTACTGTATACAAATCATGATAATCATGACATCACAAATTTCCCACAAAGCAGCAATGAGCTGCATAAGGTAAACAAACCTTTTTTTTTCTCCTCTCGCTGACTCAAGCGGAACAAGTAACTCTCAGGTCGCTGGTTGACGCCGCGGGAGGGGGACGGGGCAGCAGGGCTGGGGTAAGTGGGTGACTGGAGGGCTGCAAGACAAGCAAAACATTGTCAAAGAGGGATGTGGGGCAAAGAATTAAATAAATAAAAAGAGAGAATGAGAGGAGTTCATGATTTAAACTCATACATACCAGTGGGTGACAGTGAGGCATAATCTTCACCTTGCTACCGAAGACAGGAGTTCAAATGGAGAGAAAATAGGAAGTGAAAAAAGGTTAAATGAGTTGAAATATCAGATAATGAACACTGTCTCTGTGGCATGCGCTTTAAAGTGAATTTCAAAAAGAAATAAGTAGCCAGTTTTGTAAGATTCGCCCACAACTACTAAACCATAAATAAATATGTACTGTACATGGATCAGCTGAAATCCTAAACAAGCAGGACATGACAGATTTCCAGCATAATTTCCTTAATGAAACTTGTCATATTAATTCTGCCTGGATATGACAGAGTGTTAAATCTGAGTGCAACCACAATATCTTTGTGTAGTGAATTTTTGAGTCAAATGTTCAAGAAACATCCACAGTCAGCCTATTTGCATCTAGAGGCCGATCATCTCCAGGCTCATGCGGTTCAGTACCTGCGGCGTACAGGAGGGGGCGACGGATAAAGCGGGAGACACACACCCATCCAGCGGCACAGCAGAGAGAGACTAGCCAACCACAAAGAAATGAGGAGAGGATAGGAATGAAAGGAAAGGAGGAGAAATAAAGGACGAATGTAGGAAATAAATAGAAGGTTTGAGAAAGTGTAAGTGTTTTGGAAGCGTCAGATTTCATTGTTTATTACTAAAAAGACTGCAGGAAACATACCATGAAGAGGAAATATTACAGCAGTAATGCATTAAATAAGGTTTAATTTATTCAAAAAATGATGAATGTTTTCTTGAAGGAGTCAGATTTATAAAAATATAATAAATATGAACACATTAATATAAACTAATATTAACGTTTAATGCATGTTTTGAAAGTAAAATGATCAAGGAACAGCCACAATAAACTTATTTGCATCTACAAAAATAAAATAATGAAGGCTCCAAACAAGCAATTAAATATTATGCATTACATATTATTTCAAATGTACTAATACGTTTTGCAACACTAGTTTAATACAAATATTTCAGGTTTCATTCATTTCCCTAACCCTAATTATAACTAATACTATTTGTGATGCTTGATTTAGCATAAATTGTTTTTCTTAGTTGCGTTTGCCAAGTCTCCATTTTGACAGCAGATAAACGTGTCTGTGTATCTCCTTCACCTGTTTGTGAGGGTCTGGCCTCTTCTTTATAGTGTTGGTATCTGTGTCTATCTCAAATATCAATAGAGGCTCAAACTCACTCTGACACAGACAGAACCAACATATATGAGAAAGAGAGAAGTAGAGAAAGAGACAGAAAGTAAAGGGACAGACAGGGAAGCAAAAAGAAGCAGGGCAAGCGTATTAAAGATGCACATTAGGAAAAGCATCTAATATTAAAGGTGCATTCAGTAAGTAAATAAGAACTATCAAATACAAGATATAATGCGATTACAATATAATGCGATTCATTTATGGGTAAAACTTACTAATTACTGAGTGCACCTTCAAAACATGTTAGCAGTTCAAACTGATCAGAAAAGCAGTTTTAAATGGAAATAACCTTAAATCGTGTTAATACATTATGCTAAGTTCTAAAGACACTGACATTTGTTAGGAAGAGAACACACGATGAGAAAGGAGATGGAGGATGGTGCATGATTCGAGCTGATTGGCTCTTACCATGAAGAGGGCGGAGTCATCGGTGTGAGTGGACCGTCGGGAGGGGTACAGACTCTGGGGTGGGACAGTAATGCATATGACTACAGACTCTCTATCTCTCTGTCTCTCTCTCTCTCTCTCACACACACACACACACACAGATGGTGATGGATAGGGAGGAAGTGAATGTGCAAATCTGAAAATAAGACTCACCTCACTGTCTGATGGACTGAGCTTCGTAGGGCTCGGAGTTGATTTATGCTGAAAGTACAAAGACAGAAAATTGTCTTCCCATCATGGTGGCATGGTGCATAATTTGGGAGTTTTCGACTGGGATTTGGATGCTACAGATCAAATTTCACCCATCAGAGCATCTCAATGTTAATGTTTCTTTTTCAAATCCGACATTATTTGATATAATTGCTGCAACTTTTATTATACTAATATTAAAATTACAATTCAAACAGCCCTAAAACAAGATTTAACAGCTATAGATTGCTGCAGGGATGATCTATTTTTGTACAAAAAGCTTTGTTTTAGGCTTATAAAAAATTCGCCAATAGTATTCTGCTTGGCCAAAACATGGAAACGAGTTCCATCGCCCTGAATTCAATGGGTTTTTTTTAAAGCCTGAAATAAGGTCTGTGGTTGTCTCAAAGGCGTTTGGATGTGTTGTTTGGTGTTCTTTTTTCTGCAGCTCACAGTTTTTACTTTCACTTTTCCAGGTGATGTGCTGATTGGTTCCCGCTGTTGTTAATCATCCGAGAGGGGGAGTTGACCGTGCTGACGTCAAATAATGATTTGTGAATATTTCGCCACTGGAAGCCAGGGAAACTATAAAAAGGACACCTCAATGCAGAAACAGAGACTTGCCTTCATGTAGACTGGAGGTGTGACTGTGTTTGTTTTGTCAGTTTGTTTCTGTAACCATGTGAACCAACATTATCTTGGTACCCTATTTTGGTCCCTTCATTCTTGAGTTGTTGAAAGCATTATCATTGTGCTTGTGCTGGATGGAGAAAAAGGGATAGGCAAGTAATGTCATGTGACATATTTCTGTATAAACACACCAGGTAAGGGACATGTGCCAACAGCTGTATTTTTTGGTGGTTAGTGTATAGTAGATACGACATCTTCGACGTTGAAGATTTTTCGTTCTACCTTTTCTTTTTTAATAAGTTAAAACGGGGCTAAAAAGATTTTGTTGTATTTTGTTGTTTCCTTTGCTTTGGCACTGTCCAGTTCCCTTTGTCCTCCCCATACTCTGTGTATTTGAATTATTGCCTGTGTGTATATAGATATTTTCCTTTTAAATAATTATTTTCTTTAATCTTCTCTACATTTTGTTGATCATAGCACTTATAAATAAGTTTCACCTGCTCTGCCGTTCCCGCTAGCCTTATTCCCTCTCCCAGTGTTTTAATAATAGATATTGCCAAACAGTGATTTATGTTGCCTTTCCCACTCCCTAGTCCTTCAAAGCCAGGGAAAAGTCATAAGTTACAGTGGTCAAGACAAGCTCAAGATATTTTCAAATTCTTCTCTACAGAATAAAATACATCAGTAAAATCTTCTTGTGATTTTTTTTAAAGCTCGTCTTGAAAAAGCGGTTGCTTACGTGTTTAAACGGGCCTACAGAGGTTGTCTGGGACATTAAACATCACGCTGAACTGTCTTCACAACCTCATCGTGTTTATAATACTGCTTTAGCAAACTATTTAAACTCAAACTTTCAGGGAAAATGTTTTTAAATGAAGACTGAAAGTTGTCAGAAACTTTTAGTTAGTTCACTCAAAAATGAAAAATGTCCCTCCATTGACAGTACACACAACTACCTCACTTCAAAAAAGTTCAATAAAGAGATTGTTAAAGGTTTAGTCCAAATTTTTGGAAGAGACTGAATCGCTTTGTATGATGAACAGAATGAATTTAGGCTTTTCTTCGCATAAAAACATTGATCAGCGAACATAAACAGAAGCTCACCTGTACTTGCTTGATGCGTAACAAACCTCATTGGTTCATTGTGGAAGCTCAAATGTGCTGCATAACACATGTGAATGAACCTCACTGGTTCTCACACATCAAGCATGCTTGAGCTTCTGTTTATCATATCTAATATGTTCATCATTTAAAGTGATTGTGTCTCTACAGAGAATTTAGACTAAACCGGTCAATTCATATGGATTAGTTTTACAATCTCTTTATGAACCTTTAGAAGCGTCAAAGTGGTCTGTCAAAGTGTAGCGGTCAACGGAAGGTCAGAAATCTCAGATTTCATTAAAATATCTACATTTTTGTTTTGAAGATGAGAGAAAGTCTTACAGGTTTGGAATAATGTGAGGGTGAATCAATTATGACACAATTTTTGGGTGAACTAACTCAAAGTTGTGTAGTTCATTTATAGACTACCCTCGGGCGATTGTATTTAGAGTTAAATTCATAATCATAATGTGTTCATTTGTGATTATCATGATGAATAAAATGTGTAAGAATCATAAACTTGTTTGTCACAGACCTTATTTATTGCAATAATCCAAAAGCCAATGGGAAAATCCTATTGAGATTTTGTCGAAGAAACCAGGATGATGCTAAATGACAACCTACAAAAATGTGTCTTCACTGCAGCTCTCTAATTGGCAAATATAATTATAGCAAATTATGTGTGTGTGCGTGTGAGTACCTTAGCGTAATTCATAACGGCATCTCTTTGCACTGATCTTTTCTGTCTCTCTTCCTCGTACCGCTGTGCCGCCAGCTGAGCTTCTCGTCTCATTTTCTCCACACCGCCACCAGAACCTGACGCCACACCAGCAGACCGCTGATAGACAGAACCGGAGTAAAACCAATATGTTTTGATTTACTGCATAATGAGGCATGTATATACAGCGACTCTTACCTGATTATGAGCGTAAGACGTCACCGCTGTATCCGAACCACCGCTGAAGAGAGAACAACAACTCTTAGTGACAACACAGATGACTATTCTTTTTAGTTTAGTTATTATATTTTATTTTAGGTACTTTTTGCCCCTTTTATGTTACTTTCCTTTTCAGTACAATTAGTGTGTATAACTGTTTTTTTGCCTAACATTATATATTAGCTGTATTATATGATTACTTGTACACAACTTGATTAATATTATAATTTATTTTATAGTACTATACATACAATTGTATAATCATTTAACACAGATCAATTAGAACAATAATTAGAACAATACACACACACACACATACATACATATATATATACACACTCAGCCAAAGGATTATTAGGAAGACCATATTACTGTAATACTGTTTCACCCACTTTGGCCTTCAGAACTGTCTTAATTCTACATGGCATTGATTCAACAAGGTGCTGAAAGCATTCTTTAGAAATGTTGGCCCATATTGACAGGATAGCATCTTGCAGTTGAAGGAGATTTGTGGGATGCACATCCAGGGCACGAAGCCCCCGTTCCACCACATCCCAAAGATGCTCAATTGGGTTGAGATCTGGTGACTGTGGGGGCCATTTTAGCACAGTGAACTTATTGTCATGTTCAAGAAAACAATTTGAAATGATTCGAGCTTTGTGACATGGTGCATTATCCAGCTGGAAGTAGCCATCAGAGGACGGGTACATGGTGGCCATAAAGGGATGGACATGGTAAGAAACAATGGTCAGGTAGGCCGTGGCATTTAAACGATGCCCAATTGGCACCAAGGGGCCTAAAGTGTGCCAAGAAAACAGATTCCCCCACACCATTACACCACCACCACCAGCCTGCACAGTGGTAACAAGGCATGATGGATCCATGTTCTCATTCTGTTTACGCCAAATTCTGACTCTACCATCTGAATGTCTCAACAGAAATCGAGACTCATCAGCCAGGCAACATTTTTCCAGTCTTCAACTGTCCAATTTTGGTGAGCTCTTGCAAATTGTAGCCTCTTTTTCCTATTTGTAGTTGAGATGAGTGGTACCCGGTGGGGTCTTCTGCTGTTGTGGCCCATCCGCCTCAAGGTTGTGCATGTTGTGGCTTCACAAATGCTTTGCTGCAATACCTCGGTTGTAACGAGTGGTTATTTCAGTCAAAGTTGCTCTTCTATCAGCTTGAATCAGACCGGCCCGTCTGGCACCAACAACCACACCACGCTCAAAATTGCTTAAATCACATTTCTTTCCCAATCTGACATTCAGTTTGGAGTTCAGGAGATTGTCTTGACCAGGACCACACCTCCTAAAATATATATAGTTAAGTCAAGTGTAATTTGGTCAATACCGGTTATTTAAGGAGTTTTGACGTCTTGGGTCATCAGTTCTTAAGTCTCTGGATGGGCTGGTCTTCACAGGTGAACCCTAGAAACAAGTTAAAGCTATCATAAACCCTGGGGTAACTAACAACAAAATCAGAATTAAAATCAGCCATTTAATACTAATACGCACCTCTCTGGTGATTCGCCTTTCAATGTAGGCCATAAACTGAGAGCTGAGGCTGACTGGCTCCGCCCTTCTACGGCTCCGCCCATCCTCATCATCATCATCCCCTGTACAGCTGTCAATGAAGTCTATCTGTTCAAGCTCTGCGTCCACTACAGAAAGAGACAAAAAGTGCTTAAAATACACTAAACCATGGCAAAAATAATTGTAATACACAGCTTCTCGTGGCTTATCATTAGATTCCATTTCATAAATGTAAATGTCATCTCACTAGTGCCATTGGTCACGTGACACCCCGTCCGATGATCCTCGCGTTCTCTTTCTCGTCTCTGTCTTTGCTCTTTGGTGATTTCTGCCACTCTTAAAGGCAAGTCTGACAACTCATCTGAAGGCTTTAAGAAGGGATAGATGGGGGGGAAAGGCAAAACAGATTTAATTAAAAAATAAAATAAAATGAGCAATACATAACGGAGTTGGATAGATTGGTTTCTTTATTGAGTGACCTGAAAAGCACTTGCCTCATTTCCTGACCACCTCTTGTCTCCGCTGTCCACACTGTTAAACCCAGAGTCCAGAGCTCCGTATGGCCGACCAGAATACAAATCCTCTACACTGAGAGGAGACAGACCAGAGAGAGCAACATCACATCATCATATTGCTTCATGAGGAACAAACACATAGAAATAGTCTACTAAATGTAGACTTATTACTTATCTACTTATTACTAAACTCATTTCTGACACACATTTCACCCTACTACAAGAAGTAAAAAATTTCACAATATTTTACAATTTCTGTAGAAAATTAGAGTGGTGTTTACCAGGTTGTTGCTATGCAGTTACTAAGGTGTTTTTTAAACGGCCCAAATGAAAGAAGCCCACTCTCTAATCTCTGTGAACTTTGTTTTCTAGGCTTGAAATAAAAGCCTTGAGTCCTTCGTTCGGTCCAAATCTGTTTGGTTTTGTTTTATTATTTAATTTCCACCAAGCAAAAAATAATCTGATAGTTGTGGGTGGTTTCTTAAAGGGACTATGTGTAACTTTTTATGTAATTTATTATTTAAAATCAATATTTTTATTCATAAATATGAATGGTGACAGCTGACGTCCTCAATGGTGTACAAATACCTCTGCCAATTATCTGACCTATCCTTGTAAACGAAGAATTTAGTATCTTTATATACATGGGACAGGTAAGTCCACGGAGGCTTCCATGTAGATCCGCCATCTTGAAAAACTATAATAGCAGAGAGGGACAAAGTACAAAGCCAATGCGTTTCAACAACGTGTTTTTGTTCAGCCGGCGTGACATGACTGTCTGAAAGCAGCAGAAGTGGAGGGGCAGAGCGGTGAGAGGCTCTTCACGGCCCGGCAAGTTTAAAAGCTGCATTACAAATCCTCGTCGCCAGAAAAGTCCAAAAATAGATTGTAAAAGGAAACGTGACCGGAGATAACAAAAAACACAAGTTAATGTCGGGATAGCTTTAGGTGGATAGAGCTAATGCAGGAGAAAGAGTTCAAAAGAGACGCTGAAGTCCTGCTTTCTTCTCGGAAGGTAAATCAATGTTACAGTCTGAATTACAAGCTTTTTTCATTGTTTGGTTGTGTACTTTATTATATACAGTAGACAGATGAACATTTATAGTTAGAAGTTGATGATGGTCTCTAATGCATGTAGGCTACTTCAAAAAATATAACAAATAAAGAAGGCTTAAATACTATTACAATAGTTCATGTTTTTCACAGTCAGTAATTCATACTGTAACATTCATTTATTCGTTGTGTCAGGTTGCTGTTTGTTTGAAATAACAAACCTGTTCACCCGAAGGAAAACTCAACAAGTTTTTTCGATGAGTGCTATTCCTGTCATAGCTTTTTGGTACATAATGGTTACGGTAGATGCAACGTGCTTTTCAAAAAGCGAGGAGCTGGAGAGCACAATTCGTCTGAATGCAAAATACATTTTCACCGCTAGATGGCAGCAATTCCTACACATAGTCCCTTTAATGGCCCAAATCAAAGAAGCCTATTTTCAAGTCTCTGTGATCTTCTGGTGTCTAGATATGGCTTGGGTGTGTTTTTTTTTTCTTTTGTTTTTTTATTTAACTTATTGCAACAGAGCAAACAATTGTCTGATTACTCAAAAAATAAAAATAACCTCAGACCTTTTCTTAACAAAATTAGCTATCGTATGAACATGGTTCTGCCACTTGAGAAGTTTGATATCAACATCACTTCATCTACCGTCATCCAGTGTTGCTGCAATCTCTCCTCTCTTCATACCTTCATTGCAATCATTCCAAACTTTCCTTCAGTCTGTGTCTTTTCCTTCCCCTCCCTTCTTATCTGCAAAATCGCCCTGCTCTGTGTGTCCTCTGAGATATACAGCTGATAAACACTGGCTCAAATTGGATGTGGGTGCGAGTGAAAGCAAGGGAGCACATCAAAGTTTGATCCACATCATTTCTTACAAAACCCTGTGCAATGAAGTACGTTCTCACCAGGATCCAAAGGGCAGTGGTCTTCTGTCGTAGTCTGGAAGGTCTGATGCTGCTTTACATGCTTCCATGTTCAGATATTTAAATATATGGATCTTTCCCTTTATACAGATCTGTAGGAAGATGCAGAAACACATCAATAAAAATGGTCCTCAGGATGTGGAAGTCTTAATTTTGTTTTGTTTTTGGGAAGAAAACTCTACAATTGATGTTAGGGGTGGGAGTGATTTATGACCAAAATCTTATTTTATGTTATAAGAAATTTTATTTTATGTAAAAAATATACATCAATATATTTTTGTTATTAAAAATAAGAACAAAGAAGCAAATTACAAACTATAAGACAAATACAATATACACAAAAGTTTAATTAACTAAAAAACATACATTCTCAGGATCAATAGGTTTATTTAACAGAAATTGAATAACTATAAAAATAAATAACTGCATTGTCTTCATTGTATGAATAAAATATAAATTGATACTTATTAAAGCTACAAAAGTTATTAATTCAAAAGTAGTTATCAAAGTTATTTCTTTCTTCTGTGTGATTAACTTTAACAACACAGGGAGCAGCAGGTTTATTAGGCTGCTGCCACTTTAAAACCAAATGCAAGGATCTTTTATACTGATACAAATCTGGGTTACACCCAACAGTTTACTTTCACTTGAGATATAATGACTGCGTTTACTGACTGTGAAAACTCCACATGATGGGTATTTTGACTGACATCATCGTGTGTTCGGCCATTGAGCACAATAAGCCATGACAGAAAACTGAATTCGCGATCACATGCTGAGAGACGTGCGCAAGCTTACGCTGTGTTTCCGTCAGAGCAAGCACCGCATAGTTATTTTTTACAGCTTAACTTTTCTATAGGGCTGGGCAAAAAAATCGATTTTTCGATTAATCGTTTTTTAAAATGTGTTCGATTCAAAATCGATTCTCAACGGCCACGAATCGATTTTTTCCATATAAAGGGCTCGCAGACGCGGTGCTGCATCTTCTCGTCTCTCTGCACTATGCAAGCGCCAAGCGCTGCAGCTGTCGATACACACACGCGTTTAGCAGTCAGGACATGACGGAATATTCACTTAACAATCGGGCCAGCATTGCATCGTAACTAACGTTTATCATTTTCACGTCTTTCTAAGTTTTACAAGCAATGTTAAACCATCCTGTGCTCGCGCACTCTCAGAGACGTCTTTCACTGCGTGCACAGTACAGCCTAAATCTGCCTCACATACAGCTCGCAAGGAACAAAAGTTTTATCCTTGGATTTATATCACTTTAACAGTTAAAACACGCGACATTATGTCAAAACTCTGGTCTTGGTGAGTAACCTCGTATAGACAGTCGGTAATGTCTTAAATTAGCATTAAACGCGTGTGACAAAGTTAATGAAACAGTAATGGATTCGCGCACTAGTTCTTAAAGTGAACGCAGCCATTTGTGTAGGTCATTAATTCTGTTGTCATAACAACAGAATATAGTATTAATTGTAAGCAATCAGAATTAATAGCCTTTGTATTTAATTCAGTCTGGACTAAAAAGACTATCCAGTGTTATTTTACATTGGATTACTTTATTCAGTTTCTGTAGTATTTCTGACATACCCAAAAACTACCCCAAAATGTCTCTTAATTTGTGTCTTTATTCTATTGTATTTATTTGTGCTACTTTTTTCAATTTAATTCAAAGATTGAAATCAAGCTTCCATACATAAACTCTTAAAACAAAAACAAAAAAATTACATTACCATTTAGGTAAGATCAATTTTAAAAAAATGTCGAAATATTTATATATTTATTTATCTATATTTACCTTAAACATAAAATAACATGATACTGTTTGATCAAGCTGTGCGACTGTTCTGACTTTTTTTGCATATTGCATCAAAATCCTGTTTATTCTTTGTATGCATTTAGTGTACCTAAAATAAAAAGAGTTTTATATACAGGTTTATGGCTCTTAATTTCCTTGTATTAATTAACTACTAGTAAACTTATGTCCACTGTTCTTTTTTATAAATATAGGATTTGTATTACATCTTCATTATAGTCGAATCGAGAATCAAATCAGGAATCGAGAATCGAAATCGAAAATTGAATCGAGAATCGAAATCGAATCGAACTGAGAGCTTGTGAATCGAAATCGAATCGAAATTGAAATGTGAATCGATACCCAGCCCTACTCTTCAACATCATGCTCGCCCCGCTCTTTATTGGCTCATTCATGTGTTTCATCACTCTAAAGTTTCAATTTTCGACTTTAATCGGCATTCTGTGATCAATTCGCGCTACGGTAGCATTTTTCGACAAGGCAGCAAAAATCGACAGAACACCGGTATCAAATTTTCAAGCTGTGGTTAATTGATTGAGCTTTTATCACGGTATACGGTATTATCACAATATTTTAATTGTTCAAGAGAAACAGATGGATTGTGGGTATCTAAAAAACAATAACTTGCATCACAATTGTGGCGAGCCCGAAACATTACAACAACAAAAAAATAATGATTAATTAAATGACTGTCTCCGCCCATTTCCGTTGCTAAGTGAAAAAAAGGAAATGAGGGTATCACATAAAAGGAGGAGTATTTTCATATGGTAACTAAACAGAACTTTATTAAGTTTAGTGACAACATGTTACAATGTTTACATGGTACAATAACTGTAGTGTTTATAATATTCAATTTAATTCTTGGATTTGATTTCAATCTTAATTCTATATTGACTCATTTGGATAAATATTAGGTATTGGCTACACTCTGATAATGTTCATTTTTCTCAAGAAAAAAAAATATATCTCACATAACGCTGTAAACATACAGAGAGAAATTAAATATAATGTGGTTTTCATTGTAATAACAATTATGTAATGACAAGTAAATATAATAAATATATTATAGTGCACATATTTAGCAAAATACTCCTCACTATTTTTTTTTTTCTAGTCAACTAATGTGCTAAATGTAACATTCTATGACATAATTGTTCTCCTGCAGTTTTATTGACCTCTTTCCATGTTTGAAAAACACTGATAGATAGATATTATTTATGAGGCATATACCTTTCGGTAAGTTGTACTGTATCTTTAAATAAAAAGTAACAGATGATCGGTTTACTTGAACTGAGGTGCAGCGATCTGTCACAATGGACAAAACTAAGAGCTGATTTTTTTTTCATATCAAAAAAGCAAACCTGCTTTGTCTAGTCTGTCGATGTCAGTGTCCTATTTGCTCTAGGATTTTTCTCTGCGTGAGAGCGTGTGAAAAGTGTCAATTGTGTAAAGCGCCTTTCAGACAGGACGCGAAATGTGCTGGGCTGGCCGCTGGGTTCAACGTTGCCCTACAACGCAATTTTGCAAATAAAAAGCTGAACTATTTTGAACTTTGGTCGTGCTTTGGTCGACGCAGCAACAAAGCGTTGAGCGTGTATTCCACATCCTGTCTGAAAGGAAGCTGAATGCGTAAGAGTTGGCAGCCCTGCAGGGGATAAATCGTCGGCACGGTTCCTCCTTCCGCCATGCTTCTACTCCATGTGAAGTAGGGCTGTCAACTTTAGTCGTTTAGTTGACTAATTGGTCGATGCCGTCTTGGTCAACTGACATTCTTATTGGTCGACCAGTTGCATTTTTTTTTTTTTTTTTTTTTACCAATAGAAAGAATTTTTCAATGATTTACTCCTTGATATTTATTCATTTATAAGCAGTTATTTATTACTGTATTCTAAATATAATTAGCCTATGTTTTGTCCCCAACTTTAAAATGCTTTAATGTAGGCTATTTTTGTAACTGCGCCACAGTTTAGCACACACACATAATACACTCAGGAACCGCACCTGTGGCTGGCTGCGCTGCTGCTCGCGCTCGGTAAGGGATGCTGTATTCATTCAGTTAGAACGCTGCTTGTTTTGGCTTTAGTCGACAAAATGTCCAGGAAATCTAAATCTTTTGTCTGGCTGAATTTTAAAACAAAGACGACAAGACTGTGGAGGGAGGTGATCGCGTTGCTCCATTATGAGCGCGCAAGTCGCGCGCCTACATTTGAAATCGAACTTGAGCGCGCAAAAGACGTGAGCAGCCCTTTTAACGGCTATATCATGCTGACTCAATAGATTGTGTTTTCTTAATGTTTTCATTTTTATTTGTACACTTGACACATTTGAAAATAGCCTTAATTAATGCAACAAAACGAAAATAAACCTATACGTGGTCCTACAGCCTATTATTAGGATTGTTTTTAAGTTATTTGGGTTTTTTGTGTGTTGTTCAAAACACCTTGATAGTCAGGACGAAATTTAACCCATAGCTTTGAAAGTAAAGAAGAATATAAAGCTTTTGTTGGGATTTTTCATTATGTGGCAGATAGCAGTTATATTTTTTGCAGCGTGTGGTGTGGTCAGGTGCACGATTGTGACTGTTACTATAGACCTAGGACAGAGCTCTTCACTTTTTGCAGTTAAAAAAATCACTTAATTTTCAAAGAATTGTATTATTATTATAGTTTTATTTATTTGTGATGTTTTTTCGTTGTTGTTTTATAAATGCTCAATGACAATTGTTTAAAAAATGTTTAATCAAAACATCACGTTTTTTGTCTTTTTTTTTAGTCGACTAATCGTTGCGCAGGCTCGACTAAGGATTTCTTTGGTTGAATACAGCCCTAATGTGAAGATTGTTTACAATAGACTAGAGTGCGCACTGCTGCATTCACACAGTGCATACATGTTGGGGATTGTTTTATTGTTTGAGTACGCATATGTTTTGCGCAGCAAATAAGCAGTGTTTAAAGGCGCACTGTGGAACTTTTCAACCTTTTGATTTTGTGTTTAGCTCATGATCATGCTCTCTCTGGCCACCTAGGTGTAAATAAGACTTTTAGTCGCATCCTTCACTATTTTTACTGGCCTGGCATGAAGAAAACGGTTTCAGAGTACTGTCGGTCGTGTCATGTGTGCCAGCTAGCTGGGAAACCTAATCAGGGAATTCCTAAGGCTCCCCTTCATCCAATTCCAATTGTGTCGGAGCCATTTGAGAGAATTATTATTGATTGCGTCGGTCCATTGCCCAAGACCAGGTCTGGATATCAGTATTTGCTTACTCTAATG